CCCCAAAACCCCAAAACCCCAAAACCCCAAAACCCCAAAACCCCAAAACCCCAAATTTGTGATAATTTTTTGAAAAACAAATGCTCTAAATCAATATGGAATGTAAGAAGAACAGAATTTTAAACTAACCTAATACAAATTCCTAAATATTCACTGCACTTTAAGTATAGTAGTGAGAAGGAAGAAAAGAAACATTATCTGAATAGTTCCAAAATTATATACTCAATCTGTCTTGGTCAAGGTCGTCGTCGGCATTTCTCCTAATTTCACTGTTGCTATCTGCTCTTTGATCGAAACCCTTTGGCATTGTAAGGCTATTACCTGTATCTCTTTTGTGCTCTTCATCATCTTCCTCCTTTTCTTCGTTGATAATGTTTCCGAATGGCTTCGATCCTCTGTAGCCTGCTATAGGTGTTCTAGGCTGAAGCTCATAGTTGTTAGGGTATTTTGCCTGTATTCGGCATGTTGAAGTCTTCTCCTGATTCTCTCTGAGCTTTTGTTAACTTTTTATTCGAATTCTAACAGATTATGAAGAAAGTACCTTTAAGATTCCTGGAGAAATCGACTTTGATCTCTGATCAATCATGCTTAATCTTTCGTTACGGTCTCTGATTTTCTTTGCATTTATTATGGACTTCTTTCTTGAAGATGAAAAATCGATGTTTTCATCGAAGAGTTGAGCTATTTATGAGAGTAAAGTCCTACCTGCTCACAAGATGCTGTACCTTTGGACAAGTCCATCGTTGATCTTCCCGCTTTGTATAGTCATCCTGCGAGAGTATTTTGAATCTGGAGACACAAAGTTCTCCTTTTTGTTTTCTTCTTGCTTGTCCAGGTTGAAGTTAACTTTCTTCACTTTCTTAGGTATTGTACTCCCGTGCATAATACTATCGCGATGTCTGTTCGGAATAAATGAAGTAGATCTTCCAAGATTAGGTTTGCTCCCATCTATAAAATTGGTTGGTCAACAGATGTAATATCCAACATTTTGAAGATCAAAAATTATTTTTTCCCTTGTTTTAATAAGGAATTATTTTTAGAATCCATAGAATGGCGTAAATAATGTCGACTTAAAATTTTTGATGCACTTTACCTGTATTTTCGAATATTGAGGGAAGCCTCTTTTCAATTTCTTCCTATAATTTGGGTCGAATGTTAAACAAACCATTTAAAGAAAAGAATAAAATTTTAATTAAGTTGTAAGTTACATCATAAGGGAGGAATCTTTCTCCGAGAGGATCAAAAGTATCTAAATTTGATTGCTTAATAAGGAATGATTTGAAGAAAGATTTTTCTTCTTTCTCAGACTCGTTTATGTAACCAAAATCTTGAGATCCCTCTCCTTCAATCGAACTAGCATCTTCAATAACTTCTTTAGGATCAGAATAAATTTTATCTTGAGGGAATCACGCATCAAGTCCATCTAGAACCATCTTAGCAGTGCTTCCAGTAAAGAAAACTGTCACACTGATTATAGCCATAACAGTAGTGATATTAACTTTCTGATGCCTCAAGCCTTTCTTATCTGACTCCCAAGCCTATATTTAAACTACAATTGCTTACTTCTTTTGTAAAAGTCATGTTTAAGACAAGGTAGAAAGCCACTGCCCCTCTGAGTCCTCAATAAACCAAAGCGACTTGGTGAGAGAAAGGAATCCTTCTCTTCCTAAATAAATTCATGAGCCAGCACAGCACAGTAATTGTGGTGACTCTCGCAAAGATCAGAGCTCCAATGCCTGCAAAGAGGTGCTCGTAGTTGAGGTCGCCGATGTAGATGGGCATTGCCACTCCGAAAAAGGCAAACACAAAGTTTTCCAACGAAAATGCAACTGTATCCACCATGTACTCGATGGTCACCTGGCTTGGAACGCTTAAGGAGTTGAAAGCATAGTTTCTCATGAAGAGGCCGCACACAAAGATTGACAGGACTCCCGAACATCCGATAGCTTCGCAGAAGATGTAGGGGAAATAGCAAGATATCGAGAAGAATCCGATTTCGATCCATGGAATCGTGTCTAAGTCAAGGTTCGCAATGACAAATGACAGAAAGACCGCCCACGCAGCTCCAATCAGAAGGGACCCAAACAGACAAATCACGAATGTTTCTGCTGAGAAGATGATTGTGTCGAAGAGGTCAAGGTCGATCTCGTCTCTGAACATCTGTTTGTTGCCTTCAAAAGCTACTCACAGCGCAATGGCGACTGCGTTGTTCAAAGTGCTTTCTCCGAAAATGTACATGTAAATTTTGTCATTCAGCATTTGTGTTTTGAACATCGACATTGTAGCAACTGGGTCGATAGCAGAGATTATGCATCCGAGTTGAAGTCACTCCATAAACGAATAGCGCAAGGCTGTAAACTGAAGAGCGTAGTACAACACAGATCCGAATAACACGCTGGAAAGCAAGGTTCCGATGATTCCGAGGACATTAATCACAAAAATATTTTTGTAAAGGGTGTCTGCATTCATCGAGAATCCAACTTGGAACATAATTGGAGGAAGAATCACAAGCAAGTATGTTTGCTCTTCGAAGTGTATTATTTCCTCATCAAACATAGAGGGATGGAAAAATTTAATGTAAAGTCCAACCATGATTCCAAGAGTTACTGCTATCATTCATTCTGGGAATCTCTCAAGAAATGGGACTTTATTATACAAGTAAAGTACAAGTAGAGAAAAGAACATTACTCAAAGACCATAAAAGAACAACAATGTAAAATTCTCTTCCTCTTCTTCCATATACTCTCTTGATGCTGATTCACAATAGAGTGTTGGCTCTAGGTCTTTGCCAGGTCACAAGCATTTTCCTGTTCCTTCAATCCCATCATCACATATTCCATTAATTCCTCAAATATATCCATCTGATGGATTGGTTTTACAGGGTAATCATCTTGGCCCGTAATATCCTTTGGCTCAGTCTTCTCAATTTTCCCCAAAATATCTTCTTTTGCAAAATCACTTGTATAAAATAGCGTTATCTTTACTATTGCCTCCTGGAAAGCCTGTGAAGAGCTCATGGCATACACCATTGCCGTTGCATGAGTCTGGACAACTTCTTGGATCAACCTAAAGTGATTATTTATTGGCCTAAATCTATCGTATAATTTAACCAGAAATTTCCTAGTAATCCTCTTACAGCCCCGTTTAGACTCTGCTTGACCCAAGGTGCTTTTGGTTCAGGTTCCTTTTCAGTTTTGGCTGGCTCTGAAGGTGGTTTTTCTTCAGTTTTCTGTTGTACTTTCGGTTGAGCAGGAGTTTCAGTATTGTTTGTCTCTGTTTGTGGTGCTGGTTTTATCCTCTCCTCACCTCCCTCAGCCGTAGAATTACTCGCCGCTGCCTCTTGTGCCACTACAAAAGTACCTAAACCATAACTCATCTTAAACCTACTCATAGTAACAAATCCAAGAAGTATTATGAAAAGAAAGATTCTTGAGTAAAGTTTCATTATTATTTAGAAATAATTTTAATTTTATTTAAACTTTCTCAAGTTTTAAATTTTGGAATGGGGTTTTGGGGTTTTGGGGTTTTGGGGTTTTGGGG